CCTCTTTACAACCACGTACCATCTCCCACCAGATTTCGAACTTCTAACAAGCCGTCGATACTGGATCTTGTGCTAACTAACGAAGAACTCATGGTTGGCGGGATAGTTACAAGCACACCACTGGGTCGTAGTGATCATGTCACTCTACTCTTTGATTATATATGCTATGCCGAGTACCCGGAAAAGGAGGAGGATAAAGTGCACACTGTCACGCACTACAATGTGTTGTCCAAGCTTGTTAAGGATACATCTTGGACTTTCTTAATCGAATGCCCCCCAGATCTGGCCTGGGATATGTTTACAAGGACTTTGAGCACACTGGTAGCGCAAGCATCGGAACAGAAGTCCTTCCAACCCAAAAACCGGAGTAAGTCATTTCTGAGGAGCAGAACACGTAAATGTATGTCCCGGAGGGATTTGGCATGGCGAAGTCACCAGGGTTGCCCTAATGCCGAAACCTGGACTGCATACGTGACCCATCGTAACTTCTGTGTGAAACTGATCCGCGAAGACAAGGTCACGCATCAGCAGAAGTTAATGAAGCGATTCTGCACTAACCACAAACTCCTGTACAGGCACATTAACGGCCTTCGAAAGGTAAAGCGAGGGGTTCCGGCGCTAGTCACGGCTGATGGATACACGCGGTCAGCAATGGAAGCAGCTGATCTCCTACGGCTTCATTACTCCCAAACGTTCCAACAAGTGTCGAGCCCGAACATTCACCTCATTTCTAATACTCCACCACCCGGTTTAGAAAACATCACCTTCACTACGGAGGCTGTGTTGAAGAAGTTGTTATCCTTGCGTATCCACAGTTCTCCCGGAGCTGATAACATCCGACCAAAGGCTCTACAGGCAGTAGCTAGTGATCTAGCAGAACCACTGGCTGTTTTCTATCAGCGATGTCTAGAGGAAAACCTTATTCCACCAGTATGGAAGCAAGGGGTCATCACTCCTATCCATAAAGGAGGTAGCCGCACTGATCCTGCGAACTACCGTCCAATAACACTACTTCCCGTACTATCCAAAGTGATGGAATCAATCGTCGCAGACGCGCTGATGCAATACTTGGAAAGCCACAATTTAATAGCCCCAGAGCAACATGGCTTTCGTCAAAAGCATTCGTGTAATACTAACCTATTAATTGCACGTAATAGCTGGACTGAAGCTGTTGATGATGGAGTTGGAGTCGTTGTCATCTACCTGGACTTTTCAAAAGCGTTTGATCGTTTAGACCATCGAGTTCTCCTTCAGAAGCTTCGGAACTACGGCATTGGCGATCCAATCCTGAGTTGGATTAGCAATTTTCTACAAGAACGACGGCTAGTGGTGAGAGTCCGAGAATCATTTTCTCATGCAATCGACGTGACGTGTGGAGTACCACAAGGCTCGGTTCTTGGACCTCGTCTATTCTTGGTGTTCATTAACGATTTGGCGAGATCAATTACTTCCGATTTCTTATTTTTCGCTGATGATATCAAGATATGGCGAAGGATCAGAGGACCGGATGACCATGAACGGCTCCAGCACGATCTTAACACAGTGTCGAACTGGTCAGTTCAAAACGCTCTACCGTTCAACGTAGACAAATGTCGCGTAGTACAATTACGCCATAGACATAACTGCACCTACATACTTGGGACAAACGAATTGCAGAATAGCTCCCAGGAACGTGATCTTGGTGTGATCGTACAGAGCGACCTCAACTGTTCAAAACAGGCTGAGGTAGCTGCAAAAAAGTGTCAACCAGCACGTCGGCATGCTGCGAAGGGCATTCGGGAGATTTGACCCATCAATCTTCCCAATGATGCTCAATTCCTACGTGCGCCCGCAAGTTGAGTACGCAATCCAAGCTTGGCAACCTTGGTTGAAACGCGACCTAGAAGCGATAGAGGCACCACAACGGAGAGCAACAAAGAACGTGAAGGGCCTGCGGTGTCACTCTTACCACCGAAGGCTGAAGTTGCTGGGAATTTTCAGCGGACGTTATCGAAGGCTGCGCGGCGATCTCATATTAGCGTATCAGATATTGAGTGACCCCAACCACGTATGCCGCCATTTGCTGAAACTTAGCCACAACACGCAGCTCAGGGGTAACTGCTTAAAGTTGAAGGAACAATATAGCCGTCTAGAGTGTCGACGGAATTACTTTTCCCTTCGGGTTTTGCCAACCATGGAACGCACTCCCAGACTCAGTTGTATCCTCTCCTACCCTGGATATTTTCAAAAAACGATTAGATGTTGCTCTCAGCTCCCAACATTTTGTTACCTAAGCTCCTCTGTTGTGGATTACGCCAGGCATGTTTTCAACAGGACTAATGTATCAAATAGACCTAAGTGAGCGACCATATTTCATTTTCTCACTCCTTACCTCAACTATCACTGCGCCCCAGTGTCTTTCTGAATGTTTACGCGCGATATTTATTTTTCATTTTACACTGATGTTAATTATCAAAGTATTCATCTCGGCAGACGTTCGATAGATGACCCAGACATATTGTAATTGCATCATATTCATATTCACCGCTACCATCCTACGGGACGTGTCAAGCACTTGCTTTTATCCCGTGATAAATCATTGTTCATTGTTCATTGTTCACGTTTCTTGAACGGAGCCATCCCACACGCCTTCACAGGTAAACACAAGCACGCTGTAACTGGGAATCAAGCGCACACAAGGCGGTGGCTGGAACATAGTCCACTCCACACTCAGTGCATGTAACCACTCTTGGAGCCTAGCACGGCCACAAGGACCGTGCAGTTCTTTCCCTCTAGCAACGACCAACTCTCTCCTAGAGTCAGTATGGGCGAGGTAGTGTGTATTAGAAAAGTAGGCATCTTATCAACAGGCACACTTATATACCAGTATCAATATGTGCGACAATCCCATTGTGCCATCGTACAATAATTGATCACTTTTTTACTGTGCCATGACCATGCCTTTGTGGGAGTGACTCCCTTACTCGAGCATAATTTTATTTTTATTTGTTAAGCCATAGAAAATTAGTAACTCCATGCGCTACTAAAATTAGCATAATAAATAATGGTTTTAACAACCATTTCTGGTCATTTCTCTCACCGTGCAGTGCAAACAGATGTACCTGTGATGCTCAACGAGATGAGCGAATGAGTATTTACACACTCAATCAAGATAAAAGCTCTGGAACTTGAGAAAATTGGTTTGTTGTTAACTTTTGATTTATATTCTGGAACTTCGTGTATTTTTATTTTATCGGTCTTTGCATAAGTCTCCATGATTACAGACTTTCCTGTCTCGTTCCATACATCTACTTCATCTCGTAGCTCCTCAAATATAATCCGATGTGTTACACTTATATGGTATTCTAATCTTTGAGCTAGATCATGTTCTTTAGTCCGTACTGTAATAGGTTTGTACAAAGATGCGACTTGACTGTACCCTTGGAGGCCGCTGACTTATTTCTTACCGTGAAGGGTCCCAATTTTACTTTGTGAATAATATGTTATACCTGTTTTTGTATAAATTATGCCCTAATCCTTTGCTTTTGTTGTAGTTTTCCATCTGTGTTAATTTGGTGGATATTCTCCTACTACTGTCGGAGATCTTGGCCCAACTGTCGTCTGTATCCGCCATCTTGGATTTGTTCGGCCGCAATCTAGCCGGTGTCTGCCAGACCACCTGGTTGACCGACAGCGTTTGGATTCAGCATTCCAAAGTAGAGGTTGTAACGAACGTCTTCCGCATATCTGACAGTCACAATGACACGTACTGCTGACCCAAAGCTTCGAAATAAACTTTTGTTTTGGCGCAGACGGCTGTGGAAAACTTGTGCGATTTGGAATAGAATGCAGAAACTGACGAAAATACTTCCATTCTCGAAATGCTCGCCTTAGTCCCAGCCAGATAAAAATACTTAATAGTAAGATCGATTCTAGGCGGTTCTGCGCTGACTGTACCTCTCTTCCACTCGCCAGATGTATAACTGTGTTGGCGCAGAAGTGCGATAGGCTGAGGAAGATTGTAGAGCAAGCAGCAGCCGTGAAAGCTGTCCTGCATGAACCAGACAAACCAGTGCCTCGAAATCGATACTCAGTATCAAGCTCCAATCCATAACAGTGTAAGAGTAACGATCCAGATTTAGCCACCCCAACACTAGCGGTCGCTTATAAAGATGTGTTCGCCACACATTCTTTACCAGAACCACAAGCCATCCTGAACACAGTTAAAAGAACGACAACGTACGCGTCCGCTTTTGCTACCCATATGACGGAGGCACTTGCCATCATAAGCACGCCCGTTGACAAAGGAGTTAATACTACCAATACCACCACGTGAATCAAGACCTCATCATTTGTCTAACAGAAGGAAGCAGCGACCGGTCCCTCCAAAAAGCCGAACATGAAACAATACCATAATTCTATGACTGTTTTATGCTCTAATGTAACCGAATCCGGAGCGAACTCCATAAAAGCTAAGATACTAGACAACCAAATCAGTGGGACTCCCTGTGTCAACTTATAGGAGTTCACGCTAAACCAGTCAGTATGATGTGTTTTATGACCCTCTCCGCAACGTGGCTGGGAGGACACATGCAGAAGTGTTCATGTCAGTAGTCTGGATGTATCTAAACCGGATTAACAAACCAAATCTGTCAAATGAAGAAACAAACGAGTGAGCGCTGTCGTTTCCCTTTTTCCTACTCATGCATTTACTCAACTATCTATACTATTTTGTGTGAGCACATTCCATTCCTATTTCAAACTATCGTTTTGCAGTTGTGCAATTAAATCGATAGACGCGCCAACTAACGAGTTGTTTATTCGATGACCCATTAAAATTTAATTGTTACTTCCAACATCCTACGAGACCTTTCAAGCACATGCTTTTTTACCCGTGATATACAATTATTCAGTTTTCATTATACTAGTCTAATAGCATACGAATGACAAGCGCCTGACATGTTGCTAGTAAAGCCAGACTAATGAATGTTTAATTTGAATGAATGTAGGTGTGTAACCTCACTTTATATGTTGTATCTTCGTATTGTAATCCATTAATCTAAAGTCTCCACATCGTATATCTGGTTCAAAAGCAGCTTTCGCATTCAATACTTTCTTCGTTCAACTCACCGGTGCGTAATTCCGACTCTATGTGTAACGCGGGATGAAGCACGACGATGTTGCTAGCAGGATTTCTTTGTCGGTTCCCACATGTTTGGGATCGCGCGATGATTTGGTATCCAATGAGCAAACATAAGACAAATAAGCTTGAAGCAATCCAAATCGTAAGTGCCGGTTGCTCCAACTTTGCGCCTATGAGAAGCAAAAGCAAAATAGTTGATCATACGTTTATGATTAACAAAATATTAAGCAGACTGTTATGCAGAAGACAAAATACTACTTATATAACGCAACTCTGAGTCAATGCATCACCACAACTATTCTGGTAAAGAAGAAACACCGATTGTCTATTTGCGGATCCTACATATATAGTGTCTAAGCTACGGCTGAGACAACATCAATAAATCAGGTTAATTATGGCATTCTAGTAGAAAAGACAACAACGCATGGAAATGTGTGCGCAAATCGCACTGGAGGACGGAGCGAAAGTGTGCACAGTTATTCAAACAATTGTATAAATTTGAACACAGACGAACATCTGAGCTTATGGCGGTACATATTAACAGTAACCTTTATGGCTGAAAGTTATCGCATACTTTAAGCAGACAGGGGGAATCGTCAGGTTGATTCAAATGACTGGAAGGTATACTAGGGAGGATTAAGCCAGCAAATTACACGTTGTCTCATGATTCGACTGATAGGATTGACCTGTGTTGTTTTGTATCGTGGTAAAGTTGGAATTCATTGTCGTTTACATGACTTTATGCTATGCATCAATTGGAGCTGCAACAATTTCATGCTGGCATTGTCTCAGGCTAGCCTTTCGCCTTGCAGCTTTAATAAATTTAGTCAAATGGAACATTTTCCGTCATCCCTGATCAAGGCAGTTAAAAGAGGGCAAGTGACCTTCCTTCACAGTATGTCTAAGCACATGTTGTCTAATAGCTCACACGTAGTAATGCTGCTTACGCCGTGTCAAATACCAGAAGAAAGTCATTAAGATAAGCAAGTTAATTTTTGATAACGAATGACGAAAATAATAGCAGTCTGATCGAATTAACCAAAACCATTGACACCACGGTTTTATGGTACTATTCCAACTCGGTTCAGAGGTTACAATGTATACCACTGAACTCGTCAACTGTATATGCTTTCGGTCTTTACAGACTAAACATCTGTCGAATTAACCCGTTTGGTTAACAGGAAAGTACAGTATTTTAGGCAGTGATAGCACCAGCAAGTAAGTGCATATGGACAGGTCACCTACTGAATGATGTTCTATTTGACGTACCCGAGGTAGGAAAGTCTTCCAAATCGCTAGAACGGTATCACTGTTTTGTTAGACATTCGTGAATATTAGTCCATCGATTACGCTTTTTGAGTGGATAACCAGATATGATTAGACGCGCAAGGTTTTACGTTAGCGTAGATGAAGCAGCAAAGGGAGCATAAGGGGTTTTCATGTGTATAAAGCATTACCACAGACAAGTATGCGGGCCAATGGCCGACGGTCAATAGAGAATTGCGGATTAGAAAGCTTACGCTTCACTCCTCCCGCTGGGTGTCATATATTAGTTTTAAAATAAGGAGCAACCGTAAACGGGGATCAATCAATAACATTATACTTTCGACCAAAAATACGTGAATTTGAATGCAAAAACAGTTTGTGCATTTCACTATGCTACCGCATCGGTTTCCTCGGCTGTGCTTTTTGGGGCTCAATCATTTTCATTCTATGATTTTGTATTAATTGTGTGCATTTTATGATACAGTTGTGTATTAAAGCTGACACAAAGTCAAAACTTTACTGAAACACAACTGTTGTGATTATTACACTGATATATTCTGATTAGACGTTCGTATGTGGCAAAAACATAATGAGAAAATGTTAATGTTACAGAACAAGTGACGACGTTTTGTCAGTTTGGAATTCTGGTCTTTCGGGTTGCTGTTTGGGCTGGGATGCAAAGGCTAAAGCAGGGGAGATCAGGTTGCTTTACATCTGGTAAGTGATAAAGAAAATTTCAGAGAAATTCATTAAGCTTCCAAGGGAAACTCATTCCAAGTTTAGTCATCTATTACCGAAACTGCGAAATGATCAAAGCAGATTTTGATTTGCATATAATTGTATAAGCCTGAAGATGAATTATCGAAAACATATGTTCGCTTACTCTGACTTCAGAATCAATTTACTTATGCCATGGCTACCATAGTTGAAAGTCAGTTGCGAATCAAGGGCGCAGATAGACACAAGAAAACAGCTAAAAAGTCGATGAATTGGAGCTCCAGTAAGCTGTCAGTAAAAACCTAATATGTTACTTTCTTTTGTTGTCATTTTTTAATTTTTCTGAGCTCCTGATGACTTGTTGGATCACTACTTTGCGATCACTTATGACAGAACAAAGTTGAAGATCCTCGTCACCCAGCTAACAACTGGGAATAATTTTGTGTCGTGAATACTTGGTAGGAAGAAAGCTGACAAGCAGTCTACTACTAAATCAGATTTGACCATTGTTTACTTCGGTTAAGATTTTCTAACCACAGGGTTGAAAAATAAAGCAAAAACGCAAGAGGATCAATTTACATCAAAATCCTCTGACTCCTAACAGATTAAAGCATTTTCCCTGGGGGCTTCTGAACGATATGTTGTACCTAACTATTTGAAGGAAAGCCGCAGATAAACGGGCCAATCTTATCCCCTGTAAAGTCCTTAACTTTCATGTAATTGGACGTTAGGTCACACAAATTCGCAATCGGTTTTTAAGTAATAGAAGTCGGTTCTGACCATCCCTGCCGTAATGTCACTAACAACTGGTGTCGACAGCTCACGGATTCTGATTCTGGTGAAGCTGAAGTACATCTACCAGTGAGTTCTTCGCAGACAGCCTGATCATCTTTTGCTCCTGCTGATATGTGGATGTTCGTCTGTCTTGGATCTATGGTGCAAAAGCATCCACATATTGCATCGGAATTCCCCGATTCATAATATTTCAAGACTAGTGGGTATCATAGATCTGAGTCTTGTTCGACTGTCTCGTTAATGTTATCTGACTTAAGAAAATCCATAGTAATAGAATAAAAGTGTTTATCCAGGTCGCGACTAATTAAATCTCAAAAAGAAACAGATGGATAGCGTTTTAACTGATTTGCTGAGACCAGATAACACAGATCCAACGGTCTACTAGGGCATGTGCTTCAGCTAATGAATGCCACGCCTTATGCGCCTGGAATTCAAATAAACCTGTTGGAGGACGTGTGTATCAGATGTTGGTCACTGTTTCAGCCGATGTACCGCATGTCCCAATACTCTGGTCACATTATCAAGACGTGACACAGGGTCATTCCTTCGTGTGTGAGGTGGAGCACACTAAGTTGAAAAATCTTTATCTATCTCAAAATGTCACACCTGCACATTCATGTAGAACGACTGCATACATGCAGTGTGTGTACTTACACATGTACCCATTGTCGTTCCTCGTGAAAACGCTGGATCTTGCGCGGATGGTTTTCTTTGAATGAACCTACGTCACATCACAAATCAAGTTCACCAATCAATACGTACGCTGTGGACGGCTGGCTAGGATGGAGATGGGTGTCGTCAAAATGGAAACAGCAGTGACTCATAACCCGGCTACTGTGGTAGATTCGTGGTGGCGCTTAGACGAGCGTGACTGTCCTAAGCAAAGAGTGTGCAATCCGTGCTTAGTGTTATCCCAGATAGTGACAAAAAGGTTATCTGCGACGCACTTGTAGACTGAAAGCTGCCTTCCAGCAACCTACAATAGCAAAATAGACATTTCTTACAATTAGGCCTTGCTAATATGAAATGTGGCGTTTTGAGAAAGGAGTTTTGAAAGGTCATGCCGCCTAAAGTCTACTCGCTGCCGCATAGCCTGTTCTCCCGGTTCGCTTTGAGTCGCACACGCTCCCAGTTTGGTCAAATTTCTCAAATAGCCGACGCACATACCGCGCGTTAACCGACCTCATTGGGAAGTTGGTAGCGTTTTAGAGGCGAGCCGTTTCCAAACACTTCAATTGACTCATCAAACAGTCGCATAAGGATAACGCACTGGCCCACGTGCACGATACGAGACTGTGGCTGAACAGAGTGATCGTTTTACATTGCAAACGCAGCGAAATAATCGCCATGGCTGTGGGTACCTTCATTAACCTATGTCATATCCATTGCTTGTACCATGACCAATCAGTCCGGAGAATGCTTTCGTCATTGACCTCAAAGGCGGTGGTGCTATCTGTCCATTCAGCGTTGTCACCGTGCAACACGTATGGCATTTTCTAATAGCATCTAGATATCATGGACGTGCACTCAATCAGGTTTACGGATGAGACACATTTCCGTTTGCATGGGGTTGATAAGCGGCATGTTTGGGCTACCAATAACACACGAAAATGCATCGCTTCGTGTGTGCAACGTAGTGCACAGCTCATGGCCTGGGCTGGGTTGACAGGGTGAAAAATTATCGGAAAATTTTCCTTTCCCAAGAACATGACGGGTAACTTGATTTTTGTTACAGAATTAATGCTTCCCATTACTTAACATGCTCGTATAAAGAAATGTTGAAGTCCACGGTCATTCCACAGCTGCAGGCTGAAGGATTATTGAGTATCGTTTGGTGGCAGCAGGATGGTGATCCTGCTCATTCTGCACAAACGATACGTGCTTGCCGTAATGAAACATTAGGTAACCGATGGATAGCTCTCAGAGGTCCTATTGATTTGCTTGCACGGTCTCCTGATTTCAACTCACTGGATTTATGGACTGAGGACAGAACATGATAATGAGTAATACATTGCATTTTTTCGGGTTATGCATCGGGGTGTTGGTCGTAGCAAATGAAATCAACTCGTGCAATCCTGTGATCGTAGACTTTCGTTGTCAGGTAAAATTCTTAATGTAAGTTTTGATTGCATTGCTACGATCAACATCCCTATGCCTAGCCCGAAAAAATGCAATGTATTACCCATTATCAGGTTCTGTCCGCAATCGTTTAAAATGCTAGTTAGACAATTATGACTAAGTGCACCCCCCCAAAGATAGTCTGGGATAAATTTTTGAAAACCACCACACTAGTCACCGAAGCATCGGAACCAAAATCTTCCAACATCCCATGAATCTAACCTTAATCGTTAGAGGCCAAACATGACGACGTATGGCATTGGGCGAACAGATG